AGCGATCCAGAGAGTTCCTAAGCTTCACTTATCTAATTTTCTTTTACTTTCATCCATTTGATTTATTTTGTTAATGCAAAAAGTAGTGGTCTTCAAGGAAGAAGTCGGCGACTTATAAGGGGTTCGAGAAAGCGAATATTACGATTAACGAATGTCGCATTGTGTAATGGAACCATTTTAACAACATAAAAAAAAAAAAAAAAAAAAAAAGGCGAGAAAGGCGAGAATAGTGAATTTTTTTTCCCAAACGAAAGTAAGTACCTAAATATAGCGGTCTGAGTGTGTGAAAAAGTTAGGTTATGGATAACAGAAACAATTTATTTAAAATCTTTACAGGATTCAGCCTGCCCAGGTCGCATCCTCAGTTTATAGGAGCCTGGTGGTTAGGCTTTGTCATCATTGCTGGCTTGTCTTTACTCTCAGCACCCTCTATGGCTTTGTTTCCCCGCCACATGCCTAGCAGGAAGCACACTGACAAAGAAGATGGAGCGTTGAAAGAAAAATCCCTCGCAAAACTTGTTAAAGGTTTTTTTAAATTTCAGTTTTTTATTTTTGTAACTCGTTAATAATTTTTGTGTCTATTTCTTTAAAAGAGATTTTCCTTGACACAATTTACGGAACGAAAAAAAGCACATTAAACATTGCTTTAACTTATTATTAAAATCTTGTATCATTTTTTGTACAGAATTTCCCCGCTCTGTTAAGCGACTGTTCACAACTCCGCCATTTTTGTGTGTGACTCTTGGGATATGCTGTGAATTGTGGATGGTTGGAGGGTATATGATATTTCTACCAAAGTATCTGGAGACGCAGTTCAAGGCACCGGCGTTCCTAGCCACTCTGATAACAGGTAGAACAGACGAGTTCGAAATAATTTTTTACAAGTTTACATTGTACAGGAGTGAAAACCGATAATCATAATAAAATATACATGATAATATAAACATTTAAACAATGTTTAAATAAGATATAATTAAAAACTAATAGAAAGAAAGAAATTATATTGGTGCCCTCAACAATTTTGTAAAATGTACTACAGGTGCAAAAATACAAAGCCTTATGCTCAATACAATGTCTACAATAGCCTACAATACGTATAAGCCAACAAAAATTTACAAAAGTAAATATATACAATAAATATATGTACAGTGTAGGCCTACTGGTCTAAACTCTACCGTATGTGTATATGAATCTTAATAACTAAACTCACTATTTCAGCTTTTGTGGCAGCAGTTGCCAGCGTTCTTGGAATCCTCCTTGGTGGGTTCCTGGGGTCAAAGTTCAAGTTTCACTCCCTCCAACATGCCCGGATGTTACTGTTTTGTAGCGTGGTCAGCACGCTGTTGTTTGTGGCTCTCTTCTTCCTGGGCTGTCCCTCGCTGGACATCAAGGGCCTGGAGGGGTGAGTTTTGGGGATGGATGGTTGTGTTAAGGGTTGGAGGGTGGGTTAAGGGGATGAAAGGGTGAGACAAGGGGATGGTGGAGTGGATTAAGGGGTTGGAAGGGTGAGATAAGAGGGTGAGTTAAGGGGATGGTGGGGTGAGTTAAAGGGCTGAAGGATTGAGTATAGGGGCTGGAGGGGTGTGTTAATAGGTTGGGGTGAGTTTAGGAGATGGAGGGGTGAGTTAAGGGGCTGAAGGGGCGAGATAAGGGGATGGTGTAGTGAGTTAAGGGGTTGGAGGGGTAAGATAGTGGGATGTTGAAGTGAGATAAGGGGATGGAGGGGGGGTAAATTTTAGGGGCTGTAAGGGTAAGTTGAGGGGCTGGAAGAGTGAGTTAAGGGGATTGATAACACGTAACTATGCAAGTTCTGCCTTGATAGAAAATTTGCAAAGACAGAATTTGATGCTCCATATATTGATGTTAAATCAGGGCTTTAAATTTGGTTGTCACATTGTACAAAACAATTTTGAGTTTAGATTCTTAAACATTTTTGAAAAATATTTTATAGCAACAACTCACTGTCAGCTTGCGGCACGACGTGCAACTGTGCCACGTCAGACTTCAGTTTGGTGTGCGGCGCCGACAACGCCACCTATTTATCTGCATGCTACGCTGGTTGTGCTGCGGCAGATAAGAAGGTATAATCACATTGGGTTTGATAAATTTTAGTTTTTCATTTTTTATAAAACACATACCTATTGTGCATTAATTATGATATAATTATCACGATCATGCAACCCAGTTTCACCATCGTGCTTGCATCAAAGTACACATACTCAGCAGTCGGGTTCCACTAAATACTAATTAAATGAAGTAATTAAATAAAGTACATGTAAGCCTAAATCCCTGTAAGACGAAAAAAGGGATTGCATGCCGTCTATATAAGTAGTAGGTACTTTATCGCCATTACTAAAAAACGCAGTTTGGTCAAATAATGTGCCTCTAGGTATCACTCGTACTCGTGTTCATGTTACCATATACATGTACAAGAAACGAAAACACCATTTAGACTGTATGAATATTAGAGGCAGGTTTTTTGGTGGAAACACCAGTGTTAAATTCTTTCTGAAACAGGACGACAGTACAGTGTTTGAGGACTGCAGCTGCATCTCTGGCACCAACCAGACGGCTGTCCTTGGCGGCTGTGACACAGGGTGTAATATGCTGTGGCAGTTCTCGGGGGTCGTGTTTATGTTTGCCTTCATTGCTGCTATGAGTAGTCCGTCAGCTATTGTTATTACCCTTAGGTCAGTTGGTATGGCTTGTCTGGCCCCGTTGACAAAAATGTTTTCTCTCTCTCTCTCTCTTTCTCGCACACACACTCCATACATTTCTAAAACCCATAACGGGAATACATAATATTTATGATTCAAAGCAGATAATTTGGGATGCGTATCGTATCAGTAAGTGAACACCTGTTAAACATGTGCATGTGCATTTTAAAGTGAAGGGTTTATTCATGATATAAATTATACCACGAGGGAGATAAATCATTACGTGTTAAGCAGGAGATTCAATTTCACCTGTCCGTTGTACCGAAAATAATATGAAAATAACATACACTTTGTGCTGAATAAATAAAACATTATTTCTTAAAGGTCAGTACCAAAGGATTTCAGAGCATTTGCTTATGGAATGAACGAGGCTATTGAGGGCGTGCTGGGTACGTATGTGCGTAAAATGCGTCGAAATTTTCCATTTTGCTTTTGTGCGTCATCATTAACTGTGCATTCAAAGCAGCGAACTAACAGATCCGCGGATCAAATATGGCTGTCCCACTTGAATGCTTGTTACGTTATCCCCGAGGGAATTCTATTCAGTGTCTAATCGGGAATTAAGCGACAAGCTTTAAAGTGGGCCTCCGTATTTGATCCTTGTACATTTCATTCTTTCAGTTCGTTTAATTTTACACTCCGTAGACGTTTCTCTATTTTAAAATGACGTACCATCCACTGCAACGATTACAAAATGACATACCAAAAATACCACCAACAGTTTCATGTTGTTAAAGTCAAACATTTTGTCATCCTGCAGGCTGTAATGAGAATAAGAACTGTTATCATCCAAATTATTTTATATTTACTTGACCTAGGCAACATCCCGGCCGCCGTATTGTATGGTTACGTCATCGATGGCACGTGCACACTGTGGAAGACCTCCGAGTGTACCGGTGAAAAGGAAAACTGTCTGCTCTACGATAACAAAAATTACCGGTTACATTTCCACGGTCTCACCCTGGGCATCAAGGCTCTGGGTGCTCTTATTTATTTCCTTCTTTGGTGGAAGAGTCACGGCCAATGGACATATTACTGGGATGATGATGATGAAAAGGCAGATAACGAAAGTGAAAGTGGTGAAAGTAAGATAGACTTGGAAATGCAGTCTGTGCGCTTTTAAGAATGTATATTATGTAATGCACTGCAGGTGGCGGGAGAAAAAACTTACCTGTAATGACAATAAGTATTTAAATGCTTGAAACATACGTCCTATTTATGATTATTATTTTTTTGTAAGTAGATTGATTTTTTTATGTTTGATTGAGACCGTGCTAAATTTTGGTCTCAAGCACTTTATATTTGCACATGTGAAATTAGCACAGTGATATTGTATTATGCCTTAGCTATATTTTATTGGCGTATTTGTATAAAATATATGTGCTGATGATCAGCTTGCGCTTACTACATGTAGATATTGGCTAGACGGCTGTAAGTAACAATACGCATTGTATTTTATGCTTTAATTTCGTATATGTGTAGCTTTTCTGATGATGTTTTGAACGTCTCGAGTTGTTTACGGCGTACAGAGTTGATTTTTAAAGGAAGAGATTGAAAACCATTACAATGTGTTTACTGCCTCTTTAATTAACTTGAAAGCAATATTAAGTAATGGCTACAGGGGCGGATTCAGAGGTATCTACTGACAGTCTTCCAAATTATCTTTGTTGATTCATCCTCCAATTTTGACCGTCTTCCAAAAGAAAAAAATTAGATACCCGTCAATGTAAACTTGAAAATCTGACCGTCTTCCAGAAGACCCAGAAGACGGCCTAAATCCGCCCCTGGGCTATATCAAGTTAATTAATGAGCCAATCAGTGCATCGTTGGTAAAATGATTAAAAGATGGACAGCAGCATTAATTTAGCGTAAATTGCACATGACAAATTGCATCTCTTTCTTTCTTAATTTATTAATGAATTTATTTATTTATTTATTTATTTATTTATTTATTTATTTTTAATGGGATTTGTCTCACATTATGTCGGATACTGGCTAATTCACGTACGTAGTTGTATTTGTGATATTTGTAATATTTGTATAATAGGTGAAATGATGTCATTATAATGTCTCAGTTAAAGAGATAAGGTCCGTAGGCTTGGCGGGCGCACAATTTGTGTATAAGCTGAGTCACTGTGCTTCAGCTCAGCCTTTAGACTCTATACTGGATTTCAACCGAGAGCTTAATACATGTATAAGTTAATTCCGTACCAAAATGCTTGTTGGACGTAAGAAAAAAAACGTCTGAAATTAACCAGAGACATGTGTAAATATGTAGGGAAAATTAACAAATGGTCCTACATTATAGTTGAGGGTAAGTACTTAGTACTTGATAAGCAGCGCCCCGAACAAGTATGTCATGTTAATTCACCTGCATGAGTGGCTCAGATTGTAGACCACAGTACATACCTGTGTGACAGGAATAGTAGTCCACTAGGAACCATAGTCCTTTCCCCATTACTTTGTACAGGTGGCATTCGTTCCATATACTAACTCCAATACTCCGACCAACCCTAACCTTTGCTAACCATATAGGACCCAGGATATTCGTTCTTAGGACTACTTTCCTGTCACGCAGGTCTTGGAACTTAAAAGTGGTGGCCTGGGACTTGAGAGGATCCTATTGTAAATAACCATTACTTATTTTACAGAAACCCCCCTTATCTCATCGGACTCGGAAATAACACCAGATACGAAAATGTGATCTAAGTAGGTATGCGGATGTATTTGGAGTGTCCGGACAATTTGTTCAGAAGAAGTCTAATGTGACCAAAAATGTGGCAGATTTGAAATGAAAAAGATCGCTATACAGAGTACAGTATAAGTATTTTGGTGTATGAGGCGTCCGACTTAGTTAAGTCTCATTTGAACATATTCTTGTAGGTTTTACATGTACAGAGTTTTGGTAGAAATAAAGACACTTACGTTTTTGTAGTGTTTATGTGTTGTTTTTAAGTTATATCATCGCTATCACGTTGCATCAGAAGAAACCGTATATTTGAAAACCTCGTAAATGGAACTATTGTTTTATACTTTTGTAACAAAATTTGAGGAACGGATTCTTTGGCACTCATGAGCATTGCCCAACTGGAATATTAACATTGCTTCATTTCCCTTTCAAAGGCGTTAATGCAGAGTCACTTGTACCTAAACAGTCACATAGTTGGCGCACTCACATTTCACAGCTTTTCATTATCTGATTCTACCTGTATGTTTGAAGAACATCAGCTTATTCCAAATTTGATGAATTAAAGAAACCTGAAATCTGTTCGCTGTTACCTGTTCTCTGGAGTCTAACAATGACGCCAAATCTCCTCTGATGAAGTCTTAGGCCGCATTCGGAAGAGTGAACTTACTAGTCCGAGGGTCAAATATGGCCGACCCACTTGAACACTTCCCCACGAGGAATCTATTCAGTGTCTATTAGCAGATAAGACGGCAAGCTTTTTAGTGGGTCGCCATATTTGACCTGCGGATCAGTGAGTCCACTGTTCTGAATGCGGCCTATTATGTCTGTGTTTACAAGTGAGTGATACTAAAGACCTGGTAAACGAAACTTTGTTGAGAGGCGAAATGGCGTTTTTGCAGGGTAACATAACGTAATGAGTAAATAAATAGATGGAAATGTAAGACAACGTACAAAAAAAAAAAAAAAAAAAATTGTTATTTGGATTAAATTGCACAAAAACTTCCAGCATGTACATGTATCACTAGAAATCGTATGTTTTGTTTGACGGCAAGTAGCTTTCTTCGGAGGGAAAACTCCGGCAGCATACCAGTACCAGATTTCCAGCAAATCTGTTTTAGCGCACTGCACTGTAGCACGCTATTTAAAATGCTTGCTGTTTCTGAAGTTGGACATATATTTCCCCCTGACGTAAAATAGCAATGTGCACTTATATTTTCATTAAAAAACCGCGTGTTTTTAGCAAATCCATATGGCAAAATTGCTTGATAACGACCGTAGCGTCCACGAGAAATCACGTTAATCACGCAGAAAAATTGTCACGCTCCTTATAAACAATGAGGATTAGAAGCAAGGGCGGCGCGACAGGAGTGGAAATCCGCTAGGAACCGCAGTCCGTTTCCCATTACTTTGTACAGGTGACATTCGTCCCTGAACTAACCCCAATACTCCCAATGCTGCTTGTTCCTAGTTTATTTATTTTTGTCTTTTTATGTTTTGTTGCGCATTCTTTATTATTTCTGCATGACATGCTTTTAACCTCTCTTTCAGAACTGTTCCTTGGCAACGAATCTCACCACGCAGGACGGATGTACGAAGAATAATTGGTGCATTAAACGCATATAAACTCAAGAGATAACGTTTTTTATCTGAAATACTTACAAACAGTAACAATAAACCTTTGAAAATAAAAGACAGTTTAAAATAAATTGTGATGATCTAAACCCTACCTTTTAAAACCACAACAGGAGTTTAAAGCATGTCTTGTTTTTACCAACAAAGGCTTGATGTGTGAAATCCGTTTGTGATCACACAATAGTTGTAAAAAGTGCAATCACGAAGAAAATTAAATCAAACATCAAAGGAATAAGTAAAGGGAAAATATTTTCACTTTAAATGAATATATTACATTTTCTTGACACAAAAACACTAAGACGTTTATTTACAAAGGTAATTAGAACGAATTCTCATCAATGTCAGGTGTCGGTTCACTGCGTTTTATATGCCTGAATATCAAAAGGGAAAAGTTTTCCCTCCGTTTTCACTTTAAGAACCTCATGGCTCCTTTTTTGAAGTTCTGCTCGACATTCTACCTCGAAGTTTTTGTCTGATCGGACTTATAAAACATATCATCAGGCTTGTGAACAATCAGTCCCATCGGACTGATTAACCATACAAACGGCCTTATTAACCATACCATCAGACTAATGAACAGTTAGTCTGATCGGACTTATTAACAATATAATCAGACTTATTAGCAATCAGTCCGATCGGAATTATTAACCATACAAACGACCTTATTAACCATACCATCGGACTTATGAACCATCAGTCCGATCGTACTTATTAACGTTTTCCCTCCGTTTTCATTTTAAGAATCTCATGGCTTCTTTTTTGAAGTTCTGCTCGACATTCTACCTCAAAGTCTTTTACAGTGAACTTGGAACGTAGAAAGAACGATTCTCTTGCCTTCGTTTCCAAGGCGTTATATTTTTGTCTATCATACGTAACTCCGCAATGCCGTGTCTATCTATAAGTGTTTTGACTCCTTTTCAGAAGTTCTTCCCGACATTTTAACTCTAAGTCTTTAACAGTGAATTCAGACCCAAAGAACAACTCTTTTGCTTTGTTTTCCAAGTCTTCATACTTTTGTCTATTTACTAAACGTAATTCTGCGATGCCGTGTCTATCTATTAGCGTCTATCATTTGATTCCTGTAGTTTTAAGGGCGTAGGTAAGAGTGATAGATTTTTGTTTTCTTGTATATTCAAATACCTTCACGTAGCCATCATGTACTAAACTCAGATTTCTAAGTGTAACTGGCTTTGTTTTTGTTTTAGTAGGTTCATAGGGTATTTCACCACCAAATGCCTTTTTAAAGCTGGGGTATTATGCTGGGTCTTTAAGCATTGTCGACACAGTCGGTGGTCATTTCTGTCACAATCCATGCAAATTGAATGTGCTGCCCTGTCACAACTGTCGCATTTATAGTGTGAGCCTTCCGCGTGGTCAACATCTTCACCATCACTGGAATTTTGAGCTCATTCCTCGTCGTTTCTTAGGGCGATCGTGCTACTTTCA